GAAGGGTGGATGTCCCAGAGAAAGAGATGAGAAGATGGGAAGTACCAGGAAAGGGAGATACAGTACATGCCAGGAGCCAGAGAGATATCATGCCTCCTACTGGTTGTGTAACCTTAAGACCTCAGCTTCTCCAGGGTGTTTCATCTATAAAATGGGGTAATAATCATTCCTAACTGAGTTATTTTAATAAAGAAGATAATGTGTTCTAAGACCTAGGTCGAGATCCAGGCATACGGAACAAGTTTTATTATATTTTATTTTCATCTCTGAACTTTTTATCAGCCTCCTGCTTCCCCCCAAGGAGTGCCCCACTTCTGCTGCCTTAAAACCTCAGAACTTTGCTGTCTTTGACCTCGGACACCATTCTGCCATCCACAGTCCTGCAGATAGTGGTCTCCTGGATGGATTGGCTGTTGTCCAGAGCTCCACCAAGAGTGAAGTCCTCCCCTTCTTCCAGCAGGCCGCAATAGGTGGTGATCTCCGCCTCCATTTTGACCTTGGTGTTCAGCAGGGCCTGGTATTCTTGGGCCTGGCACTGCCCTTCTGCTCAGGTCTGGGCCAGCTCTGACTCCAAGTACCGCAGGATCCCATGGAGCTGTTCATCTGCACGGCATAGCGCACATCCACCTCCCTCAGGCTGTTCTCCAAACTGGCCTTCAGATTTCTCACCAAGTCCAGGTTGAGCCCCAAGGGCTGAACCATACGTCTCATCTCTGTGAGTGTCATCTCAGCAGCTCCCATCTTAGTGGTCTGCGAGGTGACTGCGGTGGTACTCTCCTTAATCTGCTGAGACCAGTACTTGTTTAGATCCTGTCACTTCTCCCAAGCCAGTCAGTCATCATACTGGGCCCAGATGTCTGCCATGATCTTGCTGAGGTCCCGAGACCTGGGAGCATCCAACTCCACTATCAATCCAGAGTTGGCAACCTGGTTTTGTAGACCCTTTACTACCTTCTATTGCTTCTTCATGAAGAGCAGTGAGCAGTTCCTCCTCAAGATTCTATACAAAGTATATTTTATTTTTTGACTTTTAACTTATTTTTAGAGACAGGGGGAGAGAGAGAAACATGTGTGAGAGAAACATCGATCCTCACACATTCCCCAACTGGGGACCTGGCTCACAACCCAGTCATGTGCCTTTAGGGGAATTGAACCTATGACCTTTCGGTTTGCAGGCCAGCGCTCAATCCACTGAGCCATACCAGCCAGGGCCAGAGTGTATTTTAAAAACTTGCTAATGCTCTTCTCCCTCCGTTTAAGATTTTTGTTTTCCTCCTCTGGATTTTTCTAAACCTCAATTGGGGTAACTCAAGGACATGGGCTTTGGATTCCCCGCATCTTGTCTCCGCCATACAGCCCACTCAGTAATTGGGGAATCCTGTGAAAATAGCAGTGGTTACAGGTTTTCTTAAACTTCCCCAGCCTGTTACTTCACAGGCTCTGGTCATTCCTCCTCTGCCTGCCACATCTCCTTAACCTATTTTTGCCTCTCTATTCTCGTGATAGAAACTCTTGGGGTAGGCATACTGAATGTGGGGAAACAGTCCACCAGAACTTAAATTCCAGAGATTTCCCATTGGAGACAACCCATTTCCATCCACCTCTACGGACCATGATCATACTTTACCTGGATTATTTTAATAACTCCCTTGACATGTCAGGGTGAGCAAAACCTCACTCAAGAACCTGCAGGGACCCTGGCCAGGTGACTCAGTTGGTTAGAGCATTGTCCCAATATGCCAAGGGTTGCAGGTTCAATCTCGTTGTGGCACATACGGAAATCAACAAATGGGTGCCTAAGGAGGTGGAGCTACAGGTTGGTGTTTCTCTCTCTCTCTCTTTACCTTCCTCTCTCTCTAAAATCAATCAATAAATAAAAATTTAAAAAAATTTTAAAAACCTTCAGAAGTGTCCCATTGCCCACTAAATTAACTGCCAACACCTTAACCCTGCATTCTCGCATCTTTTGTCTTGAATGGTAATTACTGTTGATTTGCTCTTGGTCCCCACTAGATAGTTAACTACTTCATAAGACGACCCAACTCATCATTCAACAAATATTTATTGAGCACTTCTTTTGTGCTAAGCGCCGTTCTAGATGCTGGGGATACATCAGAGAACCAAACAAAAATCCCTGCTCCCAGGGAGCTTACATTCTACCTAGGGAGATGGAGGAAACACAATAAACTATAGTGAATGAGTAAATTATATAGTATGTAGAAGATACTTGCTATGTGAGTTTTAATTACTTTGGAATTCATTGACATAGCTGCATATACAAATATCAAGTAATCTTTAAAAATTGTGTTCAGTTCTGTTTGAATAGGGCAATGTGCTGAGACTTCGGAATAAATGATGTTTGGTGCTCCCCGGGTTAGACGGGTATGGGTCCTGAACTCTAAGGATGAAGCAAGATGGAGCAGGTGCTAACCATCAGGCCCCTTCCACAGCAGCAGGAGGTAAGGGCCTGGTGTAGGACTCTAACCTCCAGCCAGCGGGTGTAAGGCCCAGACTTCAAGACTCTCTCTGAGGAATCCGGGTCAGTTCTCGTTTTGGCCACCAGGGGTCATTTTATCCCTGTAAATCACCATCTGGACAGGTCACTTAAAGACACACAAAAGGCTTACTCCAAACTGAAACACAGAGATACACACAGGAAAACCTTGACACTGTTGCGTGTGCATACACGCAGACACACACAAGTATATGGCATTGAGAGATATAGGCACAGAAATGCATACAAGACACAGTAATGACAATAACTCCCTAATGTTAGGGTCTCAAGATGTCATAGTGCCAACTCTGCAACCCCTGCCAGCTCCCAACTCCCATAAAGAGAGAAGAAAACAGGCGCTCTCCCTCCTGGAAGCACACCTGCACCTTTCCCCTCCCCCTCCCCCCCCCACCCCAGGTACCTTACCTTTACCTTACTCTCTCCTAAGCTCCAAGGGCTCCTTCTTTTGCTTCTGTGATTTGTTTCCTGAGCCCATTACTTTTACCGCTCACTTCTTCTACCTCTGTGACTTCCTAAAGAAACTTTGTTATTATAAAAATAAATAAATAAAAAAGATGGCCCTGACCAGTGAGGCTCAGTTGGTTGGGCATTGTCCCTCAAAGTGAAAAGTCACTGGTTCAATTCCTGGTCAGGGCACCTACCTGGGTTGCGGGTTTGGTCCCCCTTCAGGGCACATACAAGAGGCAACCAGTTGACGTTTATCTTTCACAGAGATGTTTCTCACCTTCTCTTTCTCCCTCCCTTCCCCTCCTCTCTAAAAATAAATAATTTATTAATAAAAAGAAATGTATTAATTTATTTTTGGAGAGGAGGGAAAAGGAGGGAGAAAGAGAGGGAGAGAAATATGATGTGGTTGCCTCTATCGTGCCCCCAGCTGGGGACCTGGCTTGCAACCCAGGCATGTGCTCTGACAGGGAATTAAACCAGCGACCCTTTGGTTCACAGGCCAGCACTCAATCTACTGAGCCACACCAGCCAGGGCTAAATAAATAAAATCTTTTTAAAAAAATTGAAAAGAAAGCAGTAAGTAGCCCATTAAACCAGTCTTCCATTTCCCTTGCTAAGAACAGCCAGCCTATTCCTGTCCTCCCATGGCACTCTGACTTCCCTGTAAACTCTTCTTTTCCAGCTGCAGCACAGCTCCCTTTCCCTCTCAGGAAACACTCCACCCCTCCTCTTGAGTGTTTGTGTAGTTAGTTCCACCCCCACCTTGGGGCTGCTGCTGCTCCAAGGACGTGTTTTTTTGGTGTGCAGCTCCTCCTGTCCCCCACCCACCCTCAAACACTAAGCCTTAAGGACTACAATTAGCAATTGATTTGTTGAGCATTGCTCTCTCCCAATAAAATACAATGTATATATAATGCCCTAGGAAGCAGTTACACACAAGCTCTAATACTGTATTACTCTAATTCAATATAGGTATAGTTCTCAACGTGTGATCTAGAGACCTACTCTTTGAGGAGTCCATGAGGTCAAAATTATTTTCATAATGCAATGGAACCTTGGTACTCATCGTTAATTCCTTCTGGAACTCAGTGTCGAGTGGCAAAACCGATGAGCCCCGAGCAAGTGCCAAGTGCTGAAGCATTTTTTTCCTCATGAAAATGTGATGAGTACAGGGTTTGACAAGTTCTGAAGCTGATAATGACAGAAGTATGACTCTACTAGTCATGTGTTCTTTTCACTCCCATTCTCTCAAGTATACAGTGGAGTTTTCCAGAGGCTTCGAGAAATATGATGATATCACTGCCCTCACAGCTAATGAAATGTGTGCTTATGAATTTCTGTTTTAAAAGCTTCGTTTTAATTTCTAATATGGTGAGTATCAAAAAAAACAAAGTATAAGCAAAAGCTCTTTGGAATCCTCAGTTTTTAAGAGTGTAAAAGCATCGGAGACCAAAAAGTTTGAGAACTGCTACTTTAGTACAAGGAATTGTTTCCTTATTGTAGATGAAGCAGGGGTGGGGGAAGGGGTAGACTTAGGACCTAGAATGGAGGTCTTGGAAGGGGGTTAAAGATTAAGGATAAGAAAAGACTTAGAAAGGGGAAGAGGGACCAAGATTTTGGAAGAAAAAAACCTCACAGTTTTGCCCTGCTCCCAACCGCCCCACTTTGGGGGTCAAGTCTAAATTGTTAGCAATTCTTTAAGCAAAAAGGAAACCAGTTATGTCTGTATCCAATTCACTCTTATATTATGGCTTCAATGCCCGGCAGGGGAAGCAGAGGTGCAAATGAAATGTGGGTGGCTTCTATGGCCATAAGACTGCTGTGTTCAGTCTAAATCCAGGACACCCATTTTCTGCTCCATCTACCAGCTCTCAGCAATGTTTCATGTCCCGCCGAGGGCACTGCACCCAGTCCTCTGCCTCTGTCTATATTGTATTGGCAGGCTTACAGCATCACTTCTTCCAGACTGGAAAAGAGGACTTTCCTATGCTCACCATCACCACCAACTTGAAGGCATTTCCACCAGCACTCTTCCTTCCTTGTGCCCCTTGCTCCCACACTTTGCTCCTTCTGCATTTATGAGCTTAAGCTGCTATCCAGAAATCCAAGTGCCTGATCCAACTCCTTCATGTATGCCCCCTGCAAGTAAGCGCACCCTGCAAATCTTCCGAGCGTGAGAGGTGCGTGAGATGGAGACGGATGTAACCGCGCTAGGACCCTTTGTGCATTCAGAGGACAGAATCCTCAGGGCACTGGGTGAAGGGCGTCCCGGGATTGGAATGCCGGAGCAGTCCTTGGCTGGAGGCCGCGGAGACCCTCGTGGTGTGGGTGGTCTCAGGGGGCCGTTGGGCAAGTGTCGCTCCATTCCCATTGGTGGTCGAGGTGCTGGGCCAGAAAGGAGAGCCCAGGCCGCGCAGGGTGTTGCGGAAACCCTCGGCACTGAAGTAGTACACCAGCGGGTCCAGAACGCAGTTGGCACCGGCCAGCAGCACCAACACCATCAGCACCCCGCGCACCTTATCACGGGCCGCCTGGCTTGCCACCACCAGGTTGCCCCGCAACAGCCCATAGACCGCCAGCGTGGTGTTGTAGGGCACGAAGCACAGCAAGAAAATGACCAGGTTGGCCAGCAGGAGGCGCACTGTCTTCCGCCGCCGCAGGCTCTGCGTGGCGTCGGGCCTCGCCAAGGTCCAGAAGACCCGGCTGGATGAGTAGACCACGGCCACCAGCGGCAGCAGGAAGCCCAGCGCCTCGGCTAGCAGCACGAGCGGCAGCAGCCCTCCCTTCCACAGCTCTTCACTGAAACTCTCAAAGCACAGGCGCACCTGGCCGCCTTGGAAGCTGCAAGGCGAGGGCTTGTGCACAAGCACAGTGGGCACTGCGAACACCAGGATGAGCACCCACACGCCCAAACAGAGCAGCCGCGCCACGCGGGGCCGCCGCAGGTGGCGCAGCCGCAGCGGGTGCACCACAGCGGCGTAGCGGTCCATGTTGATGAGGGTCAGGAAGATGCAGCTGCCGTACATGTTCATCTGGAAGATGGCGCCTGCCGTCTGGCACAAGAGATCAGGGAAGGGCCAGTGGTGCAGCGCATAGTAGGAGAGGCGCACGGGCAACGACAGGGTGAAGAGCAGGTCACTGGCCGCCAGGTTGCACATGTATACGCTCACCACTGAGTGCACGCGCAGAGCACGCAAGAAGACCCAGAGGGCCAGCGCGTTGAGCGGAAGCCCCGCGGCCAGTACTAAGCTGTAGACCACCATGTGCAAGCGGTGGGTGGTCCGGTAGTCAGGGCACGGGAGATCAGAACTGTTGGTAGATGTGTTGGCCGAGGAGTTGGCCAACATCGTGCCAAAGTGTGCTGAGGAGCTAGACTCGGGGCATCATGGAGCACGTCAGGGTCCTGGCATCACATTCATCTCCAGAACAGGGCCTGGAGGCTGTACAGAGACAGTCTCAAAGCTAGCAGAGGGAGGGCACGAAAATGTGGGCTATGCCTGCTGGGCAGATGGCTGTCAGCGGGGTGGATGCCTTTGGTCACGGCCTCATCATCTGCAGACCTGGAATAGGAAGGCATGTTGAAAGTCAACCTTATGCAAGGGCGGGGCCTAAGACACAGATGCTTATCTAGCTAAACCTGCTGTCCTCTTGAGTCTTGTCTGAGTCTCAAGTCTTTTCCCCCACCTGTCATTTGGCCAGAGTAGCTTTCTGCAGCAAGGCTGTAGAGCACAGTGCCAGACTGCTTGGGTTTAAATCCTGCCTTTGCCAATTTCCCTAGCTTTTGTCCTCAGAAAAGTGACTTAATCTCTATGAACTTCATTTTTCTTGCCTGGGGGGAGGGGTAGAAGAAGAAGGGGTTCCTTCATGAGGTTTTTAGGTTAAATGACATGATATATGGAAAGTGTTTGGGCTTTCACAGGTATGTTCACAGCAATGAGCAAAACAAAGACCTTGCCCCCACCTACTTTCATTCCACGGGAGGATGACAGGTAATAAAGTACAGTAAACAGATATTACATCAGGTGGTGACAAGTTCTATGGAGCACCTCCCCTGGAACAGGTACTCTGCTGACTCCCCATTATCTAAAGAATAAAGTCCACGCTCCCAAGTACAGTACCACATCCCAGCCTTGCTCATCACATTTACTGTTGCTCCTGCGTGAGCTGGATTTGTGCTCAAAGCATGCTGAATTCACCTTGGTTGTTTGACCTCTCTCTGAGTTTCTACAACTGAAAAGTGGGGAGAACGATATAACAGGGCTCTCATAGGCTGTTCAAACAAGCAACAGAGTTCTGCCAGGGCAAGACCCTGTGCGTTGTTGAGCTTTTCTGGCTAGAGAACTTCCCAGATGGGGTTCTGTGATAGAGGGGAGATGGCAGTTTGGTAGTGAAGGTTCCAAGGGGACCCTAAGCCCAGAGAGCAGGGCAGCGAGGTGAGAAAGTACCATGGGTGCTGATGAGGCTGCTGAAGAGAGCAGATTGCAGCAGCTGCAGTCCTTGGGCAACAGCTGGCAGACAAAGGGTATGGCTAAGAGTGAGAGGAGCCAGACGACAGGACATGGTCTCAGGATCCCACCTTCTTTAATGCCACCAGGTCACAGGAGCTACCCAGATGCCATCTATTTCGTGTGTACGTGGTGAAATGTACGTAACTTAATATTTACCATTGTAACCATCTTGAAATGTACTGTGGCATTAAGTACACTCACAATGTTGTGTAACTGTCACCAACATTTCCAGAACTTTTCTACCACCCCAAACAACAACTTTATTCCCATTAAACAATAATTGCAGTCTACCAGCACCCCTGCCCTCCAGCCATTGGTAACCTCTATTCTACTTTCTGTCTCTATGAATGTACCCATTCCAGGTACTTCATATGGGTGGAGCCATATAATATCTACCCCTTTGTATCTGGCTTATTTCACTTATAGCATAAAGTTTTCAAAGCCCATCGATGGGGTAGCATGTAATAAACAGCATTCTTTTTTTATGGCTGAATAACATGTACTCGTATATCACATTTTGTTTATCCATTCATCTGTCGATGGTTACTTGGGTGTTTCTACCTCTTGGCTATTGTGAATAATGCTATGAACATGGGTGTCCATATGCCATCTCAGGGAGCAAAGTTGTCCAGAGACCCTGAGAAATTATCTTAAGATAGTGGACTTATTCCATTCAAAAGAAACTGCTTGAATTCTTACACAGAACCAAGTTGTAAACCTGACTGTGACTAGTTTTCTTGTGGGTTTTTTGTTCATTTGTTCTCTCTCCAACCACAACTATCAGCAGTTTAAGACTCGTAAAAGGTAGAATAGTCAAAGGGAATAAAGAAACACTTATTCTGCAAAATACCAATTTCAGCAGTGAAAATACTACTATATGGGGTTTAAACGTGCTGAAAAGCAAATAAAACCAGGCTTTTTTCCTGACACGTGCCCCACTTCCCATGCTCCTTTGCTCCCATTACACCAAAATAATAATTTTGCACATACCTTATGTTTTCAGGGCTCTATCTTTGCCACCTGCTGTTTCCTCAATTTGGAATGAACTTCATCCCATTCTCCAACTGGCAAACTCAGTCATCTCTTAGGACTATGTGAAGCCATTCCTTGACTCCCTCCCTCCCCACAAGGCAGATGTGGTCTCCTCACTGGTGCTCCCACTTGGTGTGCAGCTTTATCACAGCTGTTCCCACTTGTATTGTAATTAGCTGTTCTTCGTCTGCACCTCCCACTAGACTGTGGGAGAGGCTGTGGACTGTGACTTATTCATCTTTGTATCACCAGCATCTACGTCAATGTCAATAAATGGTGAGTGAAATAGCTGTTATTTACTGATCGTTCACCATATCCCAGGTTATTTTATATGCATAATCTTTAATCCTCCCAACAGCCCTTTGAGGTCGGCGTTTATGCTCATTTTTACAGGAAAGGAAACAACTCAAGAGCTCAGTCAGTGAGGAGTGAAGTTGGGAATCAAACCCAGGACCTCCTAGCTCCAGTGGCCAAGCCGTCTGCGGCTATGTCCAGCAAGGGTGGATGGTTGGAGATGAGGATGCATGATGCACAGAGGATCTGGTCTTTTTAGATGCCCACGTGAAATCTGTGCTTATAGAGAAATTATTTTACTTTCTCATTTGTCTAATTGAAATATATACTTTTTAATAATCCATTTCTCCCTCCCACTTCAAACACTGGTAACATGAGCTCATCTCTCTTCCACACACACAAATATGCCCCTCCTTACAATTTCCGCTTACCTTACCTACTTAAGCACTTAGCTTGCTGCTCTAAACTCCTCAGGTTGTTTTATGTCTATTTGTTCCATTTCCCCAACTAGATGGTAGGATCCTGGGGTGGGGACCACATCTTCCACTGCTTCTCTTCCCAAGGTCACTCACACTTCAGTCTCCACCTAGCAGGCCCTTGTGGTATTCATTGGGTGCCTGGCAAGATATCCGTCCCTCCCCCACGTTTATCCAGTTTGTAATTCTGTTATCTCATATCAATTCAGTCAGCTAACCACTTTTTTTTTTTTTAACAACTAACCACTTCTTCTTTTCTTTTTTATTTTAATGTATTCGTTGATTGCTTCTTATATGTACTCTGACTGGAGATTGAACCTACAACCTTGGCATATCAGGACGACGCTGTAACCGAGCCACTTGGCTAGGGTGCTTTTCAATATTGTGTAGAACAGGTAATTCTTGACCTATCTATTTTGAGGCATAGTAAAATATTTATGTTGAGGCACAATCTTTATGTCTCAAAGATTAAAATATGTATTAGTTATATATTTTAAAAATATTTATTTTATATTTTATTTTATTTTAGAGAGGGAGAGAAACATTGATGTATAAGAGATACCCTGATTGGTTGCCTCTCGCAAGCCCCAAGTGGGGACCTGGCTCACAACCCAGGCATGTGCCCTGACTGGGGATTGAACTGGCAACCTATTGGTTTGCAGGCCGGCACTCAATCCACTGAGCCACAGCAGCCAGAGCTGTATTAGTTACATATTGCTGCATAAAAACACTTCAAAATTTAGCAGCTTAAAACAACAAGCATCCCTACAGTTTCTGAGTGTTAGGAATCTGGGAATGACTTTGCCAGGTTACAGTCTTGTGTGGTCGCAGTCATCTGAAGGCTTCACTGGGGCTGGAGGATCTGCTTCCCACAACACACATCTGTTGGTAAGAGGCCTCATTTCCTAGCCATAAGTGCCCCTCCATAGGGCTTCTCACAATAAGTCCATTAACTTTCCCCCAGGGCAAGTGATATCAGAAAACACCAACTAGCCATTTCTTATCACATTTCTGACTATCTTGTCCATATGTATAACTCACTTAGTAAAAGATCATGTACCTTAAAAAGGTCTATTTGAAAAGAGCTTGCATTAAAATGTCATTAAATGTTCACGCTATAATTACAGTAACACTTTATCATTCTTAACCATTACTTGGAAAATCAATACACCTTACAACTAGGAGACACATACTAGACTCTGAGTGAGTGAATGGATAATTATTTTCCAAGAATTCCAAGTCTTTCTGTTGACAAAGTTACAAGGTTAAACAGACCAAAATGTATTACTTGAGCTCTTACTTAAAGGTAAAGTTAGGAATCTTTTCATAAAGCAGACGGCAACGCTCTCATTCCAAAAGAAAGTCCTGGGGTTTCTTTGTAGTGGGGCCTATTTGTCAAGAAGCCATCGCTTCCTGACAGACTTACACAGAACAGCCCGAGCTGAGCATTGAGAGCTGCCAGGCCCCTGCCCCGGTCCCCACCCCACCCGCCTGTTCCCTGAGGCTCTCATCAGTGGAGCTGAATAGGCATAGTGCCAGGCCAGATGGCAAGATGGAAAAAGCTGCCAAAAAGGAGGCAAACAGGAAATGGAAGGACGGTTCTAGGTGTCGGGAAGGGGCAGCCTGGCTGTCTCCCCAGTCCTGCCTTGAGGAAGAGGTCAGGTTGTGGGGGAAATGCAGGAAGTAAAGAAATAGCAGCCACCCCAGGAAAGAATAGACACTGGGGTTTCATGCCACCAGAGAGAAGGAAAGACATGACCTGGAGGCCTGCATAGGCTCAAACACCTCGACACGCTCTGAGGGGGTAACGTAAGCATACCAACTCCACACATGCGCCCATGCAAGGACACGCAGAGGTATAGGTAGGTACCCTATGACATGTGTACACAAGATCCCTAATAACATATCAATCAATGTTGCTGCACACCCTGTAACGCACAAGTACGCATGGAGGCATGGACTACCCGCCCTGCGAGGAAGGGCAGATGCAGCCCCAGCCTTAGGGACCGTGTCCTTACACAGACAGACAGACATACA